CCTTGGAATGTTACACCAGCTTGAGTCTTTGAATTGATTGTTTTCGAGAGGAAAGGCTGTTTTGTTTTTTTCTGTTGGGGAAGGGGGGGGGGATATTTCAAGCTCGATAAGAGGTGCTGCGTGGTGTAGTAGTTAGTACTCTTGCCTCATAAACCGAATGTAGTAGGTTCAATGTCGGCAGTATATCTTCAGGGAGTTGGGTTTTTTCCCTTTTTTTCCCTCGAGTTTTCATAACTTTCTTTGGCTCGCAGCAGAAAGGAGCTCTGTCTCTTACGTACCCATAGCTATCAAATTATAAAAAGGGGCGTAGAATAGACCCAGAAGAAAATTCGTCTGAAAATGTGTACGCGCTTCGTGTATAACGCAAGTGTGTTAGCCCCGGAACGTTGTTCTTCTTGCTAGTATGTTGCAACAAATTGTGGCCCCTACTTCAGTGAGTGTGGGTGGTTGGAGGGCCCTGCTGGTGGGTCCTAGTTCTTTACTTTCACTCTGTTGTTTCTGTCTGTCTGTCTGTCTGTCTTACTTTTTCCTAGATCTAAAGGACCATTATTGCGTCGATGTCTTACTCTTTACTCAAACAAACAAACAATACTTCAGTGAGTGCGGGCGTCTGTGGTGTAGAGGTTTGGCGCTCCGCCGTCGCTCACAGGAGAATCGAGTTCGATATTCTTCCGTGTGGGTGTGGTGGAGACTTTCCATTGAGTGTGTCGCTCTTTCTGCTGGGACGATTTTATCCCTCTCAGCCCGGGCCGGTCCTGACAAACAGAGTCGAAACCGGCCTCCTAAATTTATCCAAATTGTGTCGATTGGGACGTAAAATCGCTTAGAAAAAAAGACAGTGATGACCCTGACAGTGTGGACGTTCTCGTTTACACCATAAATTCCACGGACACATAAAGGCTCATAAATCGTTCCCATTTGGGGCTTGTAAAACAACTCCATTTGGAGACAGCTGGTGTCTGTAAAAAATGAGCTGTAAATAGTGTGGCTCGTGTTGGTTCGTGAAAGTATCATGATCGCTGGCCTGGGAATGATCTTCAGGCTTGCAAACTGTCCTGTATTTCCCGGATTTCCCCGGGACAGTCCTGGATTTGGCAGTCGACACTCTTGTTTGTTTGTTTTGGAAAGTGTTTTTTACGGCGCTCGCAACTGCAAAAGATCATATGAGCGCGTTGGACACATTAACCATTTTCAGTTTGGTAGGAATTAGTTTTGAATTTTCCCCGGGCGGCGGCCGAATCCTAATCTATTTGACCACTGAGGGATCTTTAATGTGCGCAACTTGCACACTCTGAGATTTTTCGCCCTTATCCGAGAAGACCTGGTGTTAGATCTTACATAGCCTAAGATTTGGGGTGTGGCTGAAAAACAGTAGTAAGAAGAAGCCAAGGAGTAGCAGTAGAAAGGCTGCAGAAAGAGTCCAGAGGAGCGGCAAAGAGAGGGGGAGGGGGGACTCGAACGGAGATATAACATAGACTCCATAGAAAAGCAGTCGCACTTGGTCTTATTTTAGTGATGTTATAACACCGTGTGTCTCGGATTGAACTTTCAAAAAGTTGGCAAAATTGGACCTTTCACGTTTCTCGACTTCTAGTTTAGTTTGTGTTAAGAGGAGGACATCTGCTCAATGACCACCTTCTTTAACTTATGCGTGGAAAGAAAGGCAAACAAAAGCAACAGAGAGCAGGGAAAAAAGGGAATACTTTCAGCTCCTTCAGCTCTCGATATTTTGCCTTCCTTTGATTTGTCTTTTTAGTTCCATAAAAGATAGTGCAGTATTTGTTAACTCAATGAGAACCGGAGAGCTGTTCGCCATCAACAAAAGCCACAAATTATAATACAATTTGTACGTACATGATAAATTTGTTCGGAGAGATGCGATCGCAGAGCAGTAGTTTCTTGCCTTGTCCCACTTGACTGTCAGCGATGTGACGAATCCGCCTGAGAGCAGCAGGTAATTTTGCGTATTCGCTCCTTGGCATGACTGTACATTAGCCTGACCTTGCTGTCTTTCTTTACTGGATGGACTGTCACTTGTATTTTTTTTTCTGTGTTTGACTTTTGTTTGTTTTTTTGGGTTTCTTTTTTCCGTCGCTGTGGCCCTGACCTTGATGTACCGCCATCTGTTCGTCACTCTTGTGTATCACCCCCCCCCCCTCGGAAAAAAACAGCCCCAAAGATTGACATTGGTGTTATGTTATGTATGCATGCGTTACTCTGTATTACTATGCATAATATTTAGTATTAGAGAACCAAGAGTAACTGGTCGCTCTTACAATGTACTAAAAGTAGTTACTGCTAGTTATAATTTTTTGACTTACTGACTAAGTGAATAGAGATTGAGTAAATTGATTGTTTAAACACCCTCTCCTAATCTGTGTGTTTAAAGCTTGTTGTTGCCGATTCTCACCATTTATTTAAAAAAGAGAGAGCGCGCGGAAAGTTCCACTTTAATACGTTTAAAAAGAGTTCGTGTTAAGCTAAATAAGAAAACAAGCAAACTTAATAGGCCTTTTGAGCGTTGACAAGTTTAGGTAAAAAATAAAAAAAAACACTCGTAAGGATGGATTTTCAGACTTGAGAGAAGTGCGCTATTGCCGATATAATCCCACGAACACAATGTTATTGTATCAATGATTGGCAGACCTCCTTTTCCTGTTTCACGGATGACGTGGCTGGTTGCATGACAAATTCGTTCTCAACGACTCGGAATGTCGACGTGTCGTTGTCCATATCCCTCTACTCGCTCCCAGCTTTTGGCAAAGACTGAAATTATAATATTATTATCGAAGGCCGGGCGCTGTCATGGCTAGCTGCCGCTCTTTGCTCTCCATAAAAACTTCACTGAGCCAGTGCACGCTATGGACGCCCCTCCAAAGAAAGAGCAAAGAACCAGTGTCGCTATAAAGTCGAGTTCGCGTGCAACCTTTCCCCTCCCTGCCCTTCATTTTGCTCCAAATAGAATCAAATGGTGCGCTCCATAATGAACCGGAATTGCGCTAGAGTGCACAGTCTTTGATATTATAATTAAACTCTCTGAGCTTGTGGCGAGTGGCGTTCACTCTTGTTTCTGTCACCTTCTGTGGAATGACATCCTTGCAATCTTGTTCAGTTTCTCACTTCACTCGGTCACTCACTGCCCTTTTCGTGGTTTCTGAACTATCCCAATGTATTGTTGTATTGAAACTGGCATCGTGAGGCTTACGGGCGATACGCAATACGTGATACATTAGTGTTTTCTCTTTTAATCCTTTCACTGCCAGGCTTGTTCCACGATCCTATCAAAATATTATATAGCCCAAGACAGCTTCGAGCCGTGCACGGAAGAGGTTAAGAGTGTGGCTTTTCTGTACTATTTTTTTGTTTTTAAGGTTATTTGGTTTTCTTAAATGCTAGCAACCGTCTTTGTTCACCACTGGGGTAGGCCAGGCAGTTTTTAAAAAATAATTACCTACTGTTCAAGCTTCTTTTGTACAAAATGCTGCATAAATCACAGCTGTTCTTATTATCTACCTATTTTTTCCTTTCTCTTGCTCACTGTCCTGTCTGTTTGTCTATTTCATTTTATGTCTACTCTTATAAGTTATTTATTTGACTTGCGTTGTGCCTTTTCCTTACAATTTCTTGAAAGAATAAATACTGCAGAACGATGTTCGTACCAATGTTCCAGTTGTCCTCTTTATGTAGTACATTTATTGTGTGTAGACTCATACTTGGACAAATTTTAATGTAGTTTCATAGATAGTCATATTACCTCTTACTACTGAAGTATTTGTTTTACTTACTTTAATAAAGTTTGGTTTTTGCATGATGTGGTGCTTATGACTGTAGCTCAATTGATTTTACAAAGTAAATATTGTGTGTGAATAATTTGTGTGTAGCTATTAACAGATATTATTTGAAACTTATCATCAGTCCTGCATGATGTGGAAACATTCCTGTCCTTCTCAAATTCATGTTTTCATATTACAGAGCGTTTTGAAAGCATATTTTACTCTTTTTTTTGTAATCTGGCGATTTGTCAAGGTTTTCTTATTCTTGTTCTGTTGTGTAAGTTTTATAGACGGGCGTCTATGGTGTAGCAGTATGGTACTTCACCATCGCGCGCAGGAGACGTGGTTTCGATTCCCTCTTGGGGAGAAATTTAATGTTTTCTCAGTGTCTCCCGTCTTTCTGCTGGGACGTTGCGTCCCTCCCTAGCCAAAGATGGCTCCGATAGACAGGCTCGGAGCAGCCCGCCTCCTTAATGATCATAGTAGTGTTGATGGAGACGTAAAACATCAGCGATCACATTTGTACTTTAAGTTCTGTAGCCTGTCTCTTTTGCCACCTTTCCTTTGAACTCTGTGTGGTATCTACATGCAAAACGCATTTTTTTTTCTTTATACGCATCTGTCACGGTTGAGTAATTGAAAGATATTTGTGTCTGTGTTTTTATCTAACGCTTACTTCAAAGAGAGAAATGACGAGCAATATTTGTGATGGCATGCTTTTGTGTGACTTTTCCCTGACTCATTCATGAAGTCTGTATATATGAGAGTGGTTTACACCAGAAACAGTACTTTCTTGTACATGTTTTGTCCGTTTTTCGAAGGCTTCAAGCAAGGGACTTGGGAACTCCATAGTTCGAATGTATATTTCCCAGCGGGATGACTAAACAAGTACAAAGTACAAATCATTTTATTTATATTTCCTTAACGTTTCATAGTATCAAATTTTTGTAATAAGAAAATACGGATGTGAAAGTGTTATTTGGGTTGAGACATTTAAAAAGTTGTAAAGCGCATTGAGCAAGCTGTAGAGTATGGATTTATGCGCTATATAAATGCAGTTATTATTAGTACCGTAGTAGTATTGTTTTTTACATTATTATTATGAGTAGTACTTTATCATTATTATTATTATTACTATTATAATTATTATCATTATTATCATTATCATTGTTGTTATTATTATTATTATTATTAATATTATTATTATATTGCCCTTTGATGTTCCAGGCATCTGGACTCTGGCTCGGACGTTGTCGATGCTGAGGATGAGGTCATCCAACCCTCTGGGTCACGTGAGCCCGTCCCGGTCCCCCTCGGGCACGCCCCCTCACATCAACAGCATCCTGCACCCAGCCAATCAGCGGGCGCTGGCCAGTAGAGGGTACTACATTCAGCAGGTGAATACTTCGTCGTTGTTGTCGTCGTTGTTGCTGTTATTATTGTTGTTGTTGTTGGTGGTGGTGTTGCTGCTGTTGTTGTTGTTGTTTTTGGTGTTGTTGTTGTTGTTGTTGTTGCTTCTGCTGCTGCTGTTGTTGTTGTTATTGTTGTTGTTGTTGTTGCTTTTGTTGCCATTTCTAACCCATAGAAAAAGACTTTTAAGGTAGCTCTGTCTCATTTGTTCGTTTTCTGTGTTTGACATTCTATGAGTTTGTTTCTTTGTTTCTGGGTTTTTGTTCTTTTTTGTTTTGTGGTGTTTTTTGTGGGTGTAAATTTGGTTTTCTGTTGTTATTTTTTTTTGGGGGGGTGGCATAACGTTTTTTATATTTTGTTTAAAAAATTTTGTCTGTTCGCTTTTATTTCGGAAGAGGAGAGGAAAAGGGGGGGGGGGAGATGGGAGTTCGGACCTCTACTGGTGGCAGACAGACAGGTGGTGTCTGCTTACATTTTTTCCTCCCGTTGATATGTTTGTTTACCTCACATGTTTGTGTTTGCTGCTGTCTGTATCGCGTGCTTGTCGTCAGGGTTAGTCCACATCCTGGTCGTCCTATCAGTTCGTTTCCCTTGCAAGCAAAGGTTCCGGGTTGAAGGGTTTAGATTTACAATTTTGGGGGTTATGATTTTTTTTTTTTTCATCATAATTTTTTACACATTTTATACTTATGTAGACGGATATGTGTGTTTGGAAGTTGCTTGGGTTTTTGTGGGGAGAGGAGATTGTTTTGTTTTGTTTCAAATATAAAAAAATGTGTCTGTCTGTCTGTCCGTCCGTCCGTCCGTCCGTCTGTCTTTCTGTCCGTCCGTCCGTCCGTCCGTCCGTCCGTCCGTCCGTCTGTCCGTCTGTCTGTCTGTCTGTCTGTCTGTCTGTCTGTCTGTCTGTGTGTCTGTCTGTCTGTGTGTGTATGTATTAAGTCAGTGTATGCTGTAGCCACAGGGGTTGGATGGCTAATGTACCTGAGTTGTATATCTTCCATTCACGATGCGTTGGTCAGTGGTTGGCAGGTGCTCTGGTGTGGTTTGCTCCTTCCTTCTTTCCTATCAAAAAACTATCGTCCTGACCTCTCCTCCTTCTGTTTTATATTTATTGTTACTCTCTTGTAACAGATTTAATCTTCGGCACTTATATGACCTTATAGTGTTGCAAGAGCCGTAAAACTCATACTAAAACTAAAACACTAAAAGTTGATATCTGTTGTCCTGTAACCATATCAAGGCGCATTTCACTCTGACAATGCTGTTTTTGTTTTGTTTTGTTGTTCACTTGAGGTCACCGCACATGTGGTTGGCGGGTGCTCTGGTGTGATTTGCTCCTTCTTTCCTATCAAACATCTTTCGTCCTTTTCTCCCCTCCTTTTTTGTGTTTGTTACTCTCTTGTAACACCTCTAATTTTCGGCACTTATATAACCTTATTGTGTTGCAAGTGCCGTAAAACTCTTACTAAAACGAGGTCACCGCGTTCCGGGAGTTTCTACACTGTCCTTGAACCTGATCATGTTTTTTTTTTTTTTTTTTTTTTTGGTAGCCCTTATCGTTATTCCCCCTTTTATAATTTATTCGCAGCCCCACATGATAACGTCGCGAGGGACGAAATAGGACGACACGTTCGTTACTCGCGAGGAATATTAAAATTAGATGTCGAAGTAGGACCACAGTTTATAAGAAAGGCCCTGGGGTATTTGACTTACAACATTCACGTGTCCTTGTGACAGAATTAAAAGACCTCTGCACGCGTCCGCTCACGGGAAAGAACACACACACACATCCACGTGTCCAATTAGACTGCATACAAAGTGTAAGGACGGATGAATCACCTTCCCCCCACCCCCCAAAAAAAAACTTAAGAGAAAAATCAAGGAAAAAACTTTGAGATTATGACATTCGATGAATCCGGGATTGCATATTGTAAATAATGATAATGTTTTTCTTTTATAGAGGGTCCCTTGCCTACCACGTAGTTTGTTTGCTGTCTGAAATTGTTAGACCCTATCAGTCTAGTCATGGCGATATAATTGCAATTCATTTTTATCGGAAACGGATCAGTTTGTATATCTGGTATGTACCTGGCTCTTTAGAAATCCTACATCGTGCAGCTAAGGGTGCGAAACATATGACTTTCCTGGAGTGGGGCAGGTCTGGAGGGGTTGGGGTAGGCTGTACTGTACTGTACTAGAGCATACCATACCATTCCATACCGTACCGTACTCTACTCTACTCTACTCTACTCTGCTCTGCTCTACTCTGCTCTACTCTACTCTGCTCTGCTCTACTCTACTCTACTCTACTCTGCTCTGCTCTACTCTACTCTACTCTACTCTTCTCTACTCTACTCTACTCTATTCTACTCTACTCTACTCTACTCTACTCTACCGTACCCAACTGCACTCTACTGTGTTTTCTGGTTTCTCTCACAGGGGTGGCCCAGGGGTACCTTTGAGGAAGCAGATGAGCTGGCCCAGGAAGAGAGCGACTCCTCCAAAGACGCGGCGTCCAAGCGGAAAATGTTCCAGAAAGCGCGCTCTCGCCGCAACTGGAGCCTCTGCGACTCGGGCGAGAACGAGGCCGGCGAAGGCGGTGGAGGCGGAGGTCACGCCGGCGGTGGCGGCGCGTTGCCGCGCGGCAGTGACTCGTCCTGGGTGACCAAATCCTTGGACGACCTGCTGAGCGGCGACGAGATGGCGCGGAGGGATGACTCCTTGGCCCGCGACGACTCTCTCGGCCGCACCGCCTACTTCAGCACGACCACCGAGTCGTCCACGGACAGTCTCGACGCGCCTAACTCGGACACAGAGAAGGCGTTCGAAGAAATCCGGAAACAGTATAAGGAGAGCCAGAGGAAAGAGCGGGAGAGGTCTTCGTCTGAGGATCTGTTTCTGCCGCGTAGGAAGAAGCGGTTGTCCAGCGACCTGGCGGACCAGGACCAGGCGAACACTTCTGCTCACGGGACTGACCTGCTGAGTGCCGGTGACTTTAGCAGTAATAATTACTTTATCTCGCCTGCCAGTTCCCGGCAGGCCACCGTGGAGAAAGCGCCCACTCTTCACGATCAATCAAGTATTGTTGTAAACGACCCGGACGATTTTTGTGATAATAGGGTTAACGATAATGACAGTAATAATAACAGTAGGAGCGGGGGCGGCTCAAAGGTGAGATGGGGCGCCGGCTCCGACGAGAGGGGTTCTTGCGAGAGCTCTAATTCCGATGACGTCATGGCGGTCAAGCGTCGCACCAACAGCGTGCAGACGTACGGCGGCGACGGGCTCCACGCGAACGACGTGCGGATCATTGTGTCCGGGACGGAGTTACCGTCCTCCGAGTGGCCCGGTCCGGCTGACGGAACAGCCGGCGGCGTGGGGCGGAAGTCCGCCAGCCACCTGACCGTGTCGGGTGCGCAGAGGGCCTCGTCCGACTCCGGCTCGAGCAGCAGCGGGGGCACGGCGGTGGGCAGCAGCAGCGTTGCCACGGCAACCGACGACGCAGACACGCTGCGGTTTAGCGAGTCCGAGAACAGCGTCACCGACCGCGACTCCATCTCGCGGACCAACAGCCCGTGCCCCTCGCAGGCGGACCGAGTCCACAGGAGACCGCCAACCTCCTCGGTGGCGTGCCAGGCCTCGGAGAGCGACCTTGACACCGCCTACCTGTACGCCAACTCCTACTTCAAAGTGCTCTCGAGCAGCGCCTCCAGGTCGCGGAGCTCTAGCGGGGCTGAGAAGGGGAATATCGCCAGGTTGGATGTGTACACTGGAAGATCTCGCAGTGGAAGTGGTCGGAATGCTGCTCCTGACACAGACCCGAAAGGCCAGGTAGGTCTTTTCTTCTTCTCGATCGCTTCACACTTGAAGTCTGGTATCCGTCATAAATTGGGCAGTCCTGCTCAGTCCGTATAGCTTCTCTTGTAGTGTCAGTGGGGTTAGCCACGTTTCAGCCAAATAGAGGATTCCACGTAATTGGTTACAGCCTAGGTGCATTATTTTGATTTTTTAAAATGTATTTTTAATTTAAAGTTGTTGCGTTTTAAATTAAATAAACTGTTTTGTTGTTGTCACTGATGTTGTGGTTAGACATCCCTGCTAATGCAGTATCGCGTAACAGGTTAGCATGTAACTCATGGATATTTTTAAAAATATACATGAACGTATGTACGTGTGTGTGTGTGTGTGTGTGTGTGTGTGTGTGTGTGTGTGTGTGTGTGCGCGCGCGTGTGCGTGTGTGTATCTGTGTGTATGTGTATGCATGCAGGCGCGCACGCAAGCACGCGGATGGATGATATAGAAAGAATGAATTTTGTCTCTATGGGTTTGTGAGGGGGGATGGGGGGGGGGAGAAAAAGGACAGGGACGATTCCCAAGTCCTTTGAGAGACAGATTGTCCTTTGATGACATACATATGTGAGGCAGCGTGGTGGAATCAGGCTCTCGTCAAAATAATCAAAGTGAAGAAACTTACATTTTTCTACAAGTTTGTGAATTTTAATCAAATTTTTGTTTTTTGGTTCAACACCTTTCATGTCCATTAAAGAACTCATTTCTGAGTGGATTTTTCTGAAAAACGTTGATTAAAGGCACAGAAATGTAAATTTTCAGTTGCCACGGACTCTTAAGCTAAGGAAATAACCAATCTTTGGCGGCCATTTTCTCACTAATTCTACCCCTGAAAACAGGTGACCCCCACCTCTTTCATTCGCAAATATCTCAACTTGTATTCAAGATAAATGGATATTTTTTTCATCCAAATAAAGACAAGTGAACAAGCTTTAAGATGATACCGATAACTCTACGCGCCCAAAAAAGGACGAGAGCCTTATTCCCCCGTGCTGCCTCTCTTATATACAATGTATATTGCAGCTCCTCGTGACCCCTGTCTGTATCGTATGTCCAGTCTCAGTTCGTGCCTCTCCCTCTGTTGTTTCTGTGGGCTTGCTTTTTCCAAGGCCAGCACTAGATGGACGATCATGTGTCGTTGTTCTTCTCTTTACACAAACAAACGATCCCCCCCCCTCTCTCTCTCTCTCTCTCTCTCTCTCTCTCTCTCTCTCTCTCTCTCTCTCTCTCTCTCTCTCTCTCTCTCTCTCTCTCTCTCTCTCCCTTTTGCTCTCTCTCTCTCTCTCCCTCTCTCTCACTCTCTTTCTTTCTCTCTCTCTTTCTCTATTTCGTTCTCTCCCTATTTCATTCTATCTCTTTCTTTCTATCTCTTTCTTTCTATCTCTCTCTATTCCTCCCTCTCCCTTTCTCTGTCCCTCTCTCTCTCTCCCTCCCTCTCTCTCTCTCTCTCTCTCTCTCTCTCTCTCTCTCTCTCTCTCTCTGTCTCTCTCTCTCTCTCTCTCTCTCTCTCTCTCTCTCTTATTCTCTCTCATTCTCTATCTCTCTCTCTCTTTAGTGTTCATTTTCTTTTGCTAGCATTTGTACATTCTAGAGTACGTGCACACTTTCCTCGAAACCAAGCCGTTCACTGACATTTTGAAGTAAATTAAAGACATTGTGCCAAGAATATACTATTTATATAATTGTGACTGATGTTGTCGCCTGGCAGGTTCAACTGTGCCCTCTACCGCCACATATCAACCCAGTGGAGTTGATGAAGAGACTGCACCACTCTCAAGGTGAGTTGATCTGAGTTTACTCATGCCTTAGTTTTTGTTGTAATTTCTGCTGCCGCCGTTTTCTACGAATATTTCTGCCATTGTTACTGCTTCCTCTGCCAATTCCTCGAGATGTCGTAAAGCTTGGGACTGAGGAGAGTGAGAGATATTTAAGTCGTATTTGAGACGTGGGTCTATGGCCACCTTGCGCTACCCCCCCCCCCAACCACTCCCCGAAAACTTCGGGGGTTAGTCAGATCTTTCTGTGTCGCTTTTTGACAAGGCACTGACTGGTTGTTTCAGCTAATATTCTTATTCCTCGGTGACGATGGACTGAAGGCCAGCTGAAGTTAAAAATAAATAAATAAAATATAGGAACTGTCAGTTTCAACAGTAACGGCTGACGGTTAATCCCCCGCGTTTGACTTTTCACGAATTCGGGTTATTTAATATAGTTTGTTTGGTTGGTTGGTGTGTGTTTTTTTATTCTGACGGAGAGAGATACCGTGTATTGGGTTGGAAGGGGGGGGGGGTGGAGGGTGTTTGTTCTTGTTTCGTTGTTTCGTTGGGGGGGTTTTTGGAGGGGGTGTTTGTTGAGGGTTTTTTAGGGGGGGGGGGTGGAGGGGGAGCAATGGAAGTGGTGTGTTCAAGACTCAACACAGTGAGCAAAATTCACGGACATAGGAGAGACACCAACCACATAACGTGTAGTCGACTGAAGTGAAATCTACAGATATTATTGTGCTGACAAAACCGTACCAGTGTCGCTGGCAACAGCAGGCGCCCGGGGTCGTTCAACAGTTTTTGTCAAATTCGCTTCAGCATGGATATGGGTGTGCTTGTCTTCACTGAGTTGGAGTCTTGCAGTGTGCCGCACGGCGCCATGTTGGATTTCTTCTAAGCCCGCGCGTGAACCACAGGATTGTATATAAGATAATTCTATGATTGGAATTGTATGAAAGAGAAAAGTTTACCATTCGTTGATCAACTGAGTATTTGTATAGACTCCCGTTTACTGTGGACATGATTTCGTCTTGTATTTTGTCACCGGCTGTGAACGAACGTTTCAGGAAAACACTGGGACGGAAGAATTGTTTGGCTCTTTAACTGAGTCTTTGCGTGTTTTGTCAGGGATTTTTTGTCGACGAACCCAATTTGTGAAAGAAGAGTTAATTTGTGAGTGATTCGTTAATCTAATTTGGCCGCGATTTCTCACTTCCTGTGACATATCAACGGTTGAGTGCAAAGTGATAGTTTGTCGTAAGAGTCGCGAAACAAAAGAAGAGTATAAAACGTAAAACGCGTAAGTGCTTTCAAGATAATTGATTAGATAACAAGATATTACTATGGGTCAGGTTCAGTCGTCGTACGTTGTGACGAAAAAACTCCGCGAAGCCTTGACACCCACCAACCAACCGCGGGGTTTGGCGTGCAGACGGTGTCACGTCGAGAACGACTGGGTCCGAAGCTTTGGTTTGCCGACCTTTGACCTCGGAGATGACATGAAGACGAGTCCACTGCGCAGTGCCAAGTATGGAGGTTTGGAGAGTTGTCTCTCGTGGCATCCGTTCGACGCCAGGATTTGCCAGCGGTCCGTGGTAACCGCAGACCGAGACAAGAAGCAGCAGTCGAGCAAAGATAGCGCGCTGACGCCTACGGGGTTTCACGTCTGCTGCGGCCGGAAGTCTTCTATTTGGGCGCCATGTTGCTGTCAGAGCAGTAAACAAAGCAGGAAACGGAAATCGTCAGGGGGCGGCACCCCGTCCCTCCCGCGTCGGGTTGTGGTAGTTGTGGATCAGCCGGGCAAGGGGAGAGAAGTAGAAGAAGGGATGAGTGGAGATACCGATACGCCGCCGCCGAAGAGTAAGTCGTTGCGAGAAAGGAAGCCCTGTGTTCGTGGCTGAATTTAGATATGAGCTTTTACGGGTTTACTGTTCCCTAAGAAAGATGCTGAATAAAAACTAAGAAAAAAACTGAGGAAGGACTTCTGTAACGAGCGACGACCCCCCAACAAAAACATGGTACAAAATGTATATAAAACAACAACAAAAACTCCAAGACTACTTTGTATACCAACCCTTCTCTGTCCATCCTCTTTCTCTTTTCTCATTCCTCTCTGAGGTGATCCATTAAACGGGCATTTGGTGGGTGTCACCCGTAGTCCAGTCATCCTTTACTCCCCTCTGTATGTCTTCTTTTTATCATGCACCAAACGACGGTTGTAATGTAGATGAGCTTCTCAATAGCCTACTCAGAAATCATGACTCAGAACCCAGGGCCCTTTTGATCTAAATTGTGTTGCTGGGAGTGTAAAAGCACCTTAATTAAAAAGGACCCCCAAAAATAGGACCCTTTTGCTTTTCATGTCAAATTTCTTCTTCTCTTCTTCTATCCCGTGGTTGAGGCACCACTGCATTTGAAAACCAGCTCTCGCCATCTATTTTTGTCCTCCGTCAAATTTCAAGACTTCCCAAATTCAGAACACTCCCTCATGAGTTAAATCCTGTGTAAATGTAATTTTTCAGTGTCCTTCCCTTGATCTTTTCAAGGGGGGTTCATGAGACCTCCAGATAAAGTGTTGAGATATGGATTAGTGGATGTAGTTTGGGGGCAGTAATTGGGTCTCAACTGCGTTTTGCTGGTGGTGTGAGGGCTGTGGGTCCTACTTTTTCACTCTTTGTCAGTTCTGTTGTTTCTGTCTACCACTCTTGTTATCCACTGACATTGAATAACCACCATTATGTCAGTGTACTCTTCTTTACTCAAAAAGGCAAAAATCGCTATTTTTAAAGATATAAACCCGCCTTTTTATAGAGTATATCTGTCAGTCATCCAGGATGTTGCATCCCTCTCACCCAGGTTAGCCCTGACAGTCAGAGTTGAGCAACCCGCCTCATCATAACCTAAATAGTGTTGATCCGGGCATGGATTTTCTACAATCACTATTTTGAGGGGGGGGGGGGGAGAGTTAACACCTTTAACCTTCAGCACTAAAATAAATTTACTTTGTGTTTGAAGTGCAATAGAACTCTTCCATGAGTGGTTGGTGGGTGCTTTGGTGCAGTTTGCCACTCCTGTCCTATCAAATATCTATCGTCCTGTTCTCTCCTCCTTTTTTGTGTTTATTACTCTTTTGTAACGCCACTAATCTTCGCCACTTATTTAACCCTATTTTGTTGCAAGTCCCCTAAAACTTTTTCTATAGAAACTCAACTGAATTCTACTCTTTGACTCAATTTGTGTGTTTCAGAAGGGTTATCTCGCATGGGCAGTGTCCAGTCTGACAGCAGCGGTTTTGGCGACGCCGACCCCTCGGCAGAAGCCAATAGTAACCAGGAGAGTGACCAGGCCAAGGTAAGATGACCACTGAGTTCCCCATGTAACTGTTATACACCCAGGTCAACTTGAAGTTATTTTGTGTGTGGGTGGTGGGCGAACATCTGTTGTAAAATTCTTTACTCGCCCACCTTGTTTTCTTTGTATGTAACTCTCTAGCAACACCTCTAGTGTCCGGCACTTACACAACCTTTTTGTGTTGTGAGTGCTGTAAAAATGGGAGTTCTTCCGAAACGAGTGACCACTATGAGACAGAGTAGAACAGAAGGGTAGGGGTAAGGTTTAGGGATAGAGTTAGTGGTAGGGTTAAGTCTTTTCTTTATTGTGTTTGTTGATGGTGCCCAAATGACCTTATGCAGTTGCGAGCGCCGTAAAAAGTCTACTAAAACTAAAACTGTGTTTGTTAGGGTTGTTGCTCGTTACGGAAGTCCTTCCGTAAAAATTTTACAAAAATAATTTGTCCAAGGCAATCACATATCACCTGTACAAAATAGTCCTACAAATGACACTTCCCACCTTCACCCCCACTTGCATTTTTTCTATGTGATAATTATACTACACTGTCCTTGAGGGCTACGTGTCTAAGATGACCGCTTTTCTCCCCGACAAGGATGATCCTCTTGAACAAGGTCAACTACACCTATGTAAACTGTCGTACGATGCTTTTTTCAGCTCCTCATAAACCAAATGATGATCCTCATGTGTACCTCCAAATTAGCGTGCATATGTTTAGAAGTGTGTGCTTAATCTCTTACAGTAGGTGGTTGGCGGGTGCTCTGGTGTGGTTTGCTTCTTCGTTCCTATCAAACGTCTATCGTCCTTATCTCCCCTTCTTCTTTTTTATGTTTGTTACTCTCATGTAACACCTCTAATCTTCTGGCGCTCATATGACCTTATGCAGTTACGAGCGCCGTAAAACCTCTACTAAAACTAAAAAACGAAAAGTAAAAGCGATTACAAAAACAACCTAGACAGCTTTCCCTGTGTGTGTTTTCAGATGGGGCTGATGGGCTCCAGCACAGAGAGTGGAGGGACACTGGCCAGTAGCTCCCACACGGCCGTCTACACCGGAGGGGCGGACAAAGGAGAAATAGCCACACAAACATCTGTCGACCTGGACATGGTGAGTGCCACTGTGTTGTGGGGGTGTAAACACACGTACATTTTAAAAACAAAAATAAACAAGCAGAAATGGCTGCTTTTAAGGACAAGCGGGCTAAAACCAGATTTCTGGGTTTTTCAGAAACCTTGACTACACCAAAAGTGGGCATTGTCCTACCTATAGGAGAAGTTTGGTTTCATTGGTGTGTATATTTGTTTGGTTATAGACAAAACTCTCATTGTCTTTTAAAGAAACTGAACAAGGGGAAAAAACTTAACCTTCGATCTTCTCTAAACAGCATTTTTCGGGATAGCCCCCTTGTGCTTAAAAGCGACGAAATAGACAAACAAACAAAAAAACGGTGAGCTAGGAGGGAGAGGAGACTGGAAAAGGCGGGGTAGAACAGTGCATCAAACTTGTCCAAGATGATCATCCATTGTCAAGGCTAAAAGTGGTCATTTTAGACAGGTGGTCTTCTTGGAAAGTGTGATTAGGATAGTGAAATATAGAAGTAGAAGAAAAAAACGCAAGGGGGGAGTTGGAAGTGGTTGTTTGTACTGGCGATTGTCTTGAACAGGTGGTCGTAACAGCAGGTTTGACTTAAGTTTCTAAGAAATTATCTACCAGTTGTTCCTCTTTTGTGTGTTCATTTGTTTTTTTCTTGGCTTCATAAATGTCCATCAATTTTCCTCCTGCGACCACAGAAGGTCCAATGATGCTTTTTGTTGTAGCCATTAATTCTTTATTAGGCTATCCCTATTTGGTCTGACAAGTATTGGCATCTTGCTCTTCATTAAAGTGTGTTTGTATGGATTTTTGCCATTTCATGGAGTTCAGTATGACAGTAACTATTCCATACATGCATCATTTCGTTCTTCCTCCTTTTCACAGATCAGCCAAAGTGTCGCAGGGGCAGCGAAAGATAGCCCACGTCCAGTAGCCAAAACTCAGACAAGTGAAGACGACTCTAACAAACCAGCACGCTACGTGAGCATGTGTTACATTCCCCCGCTCAACACCCAACCTGTGGATGACCTTGGATTGCGGTACAGGATCCGGCCGGGTGCCGAGACCCACGACGAGCCCTCTGGGACACAGTTCAGGAGGGCTCGGGGGTTCAGTGTACCGAACACGGGCTACTTTGTAGATGAGGCTGATACTGTCGCTTACCTCCAGGCCAGAAATAACAAGGCTGCTTACCCTGCTGAGCCCTCTTTGGCCTTTGAGCATGCAGTGACAGTGTACGACCCAAGACTTCCTACTTACAATGCTGCTAATGCTGCGGAATTCAGACGCGCTCAGAATGTCAACAATTCTTATTTTAAAAACCAAGATGGTATTTCTCGGCCCCAGGGCTCTCGTCAGCCGCATGGAGGCCAGGCCCAGAGCAAAAGTGATCAAGGATATCTGCCTAGAGCTGATGACTCGAATAAGATTTTTACTTCCCCGTTATATAGCCACCAAATACACCCGGGAGCTTCACGGCATATTTCTCAAGTGTCCTATCGTGTTCGACCTGTCCGCATGCGGAGTACAAGTGGACTGTCTGACGACGGTCTGGACCGAGACACAAGAAATGACGTTCCTCTGTCCGAGGAGCTTGCTCAAGCAACAAACGCAAAGCAAAAAGATATTCCCGGATTGTCACAGACTCCAAAAACATCCCCCTCCGCCTCCGGGCACACACCTTCCACCAGCTCAACCACACAAATCAGCACCATCAACATCCCTCCCAGCCCGCTGGTTCAACGCACCACTGTTACCATGACCACAACGCCAAAAAGATACAAGGGAGTCGAGGGGTTCAATTTCCCGCCTCTCGCGGGTAACCTTTCTGGATTTGAATCCAACAGCCGCCAGCAACAGCATAGCACACCCCGTGATCCCCCGACCACCTCTCGGCAGAAGTCGTGTGATATACTGGAAGATGATTCACTCTTTGGAGTCCAGATAGACGGGAGCTTCCCACTTCAGAATCGACAGAACGCGTTGCACGGTAGCAACCAGGGGCGTGCGTACGTCCAACATCCGGCTGTTTTCAGAGATGGACAAAGGGGGAGAGGAGGTTCCTCCGAGGATTTCTCTCAATGGCAGCACGTGCCGCACTGGTTTAATCAGAACGCCGGTGCTGGGTACGCTTACTCTCTGCCCCCCAGTGCGCTCTCAAGAACATCCGATGATCTCGATACTCTGTCATCGATGGCTGAGACCAGCTCTGATTTCTCAATCCAATCCTCCCCTGAAGGTCACACAAAGACGGGAGTTTTGGATGCCCGCAAACTGGCCAGAATGATCAATCAGCCGATGTACTTCAAGGTGAGACAACTCAGTGTTTTGTAGTGGAAATGGAAAAGTAAGTTAATTTGATCCACAAGGCAGGTGAGGTTTTTGATCTTTACAGCTCTTTTTCAAATGCCAATTTAATTTATTTTGCAAAGTTTCCACTCAGCATCAGGAGTAATGAACAGTTCACAGTGGAAAGGGGTATAAAATAAGACTCTAAAATACATTTTTTTTTGCCTTTGGGAATCCTCAGCTTCATTTTTCCTTTCTACTTTACCCTGGCGATATTTAGCGGGTGCTGGGAGGGAACCACCGGTAGGTCCTCCTTTTCTTTCCTTCTGTTGCTTTTATCTGTCAGTTTTCCTCTTTTCTCA